CGGGCCCATCCCCTCTCCATCCTAGGGCATCCAGGGAGGAGAGGATAAGGGAGAGATGTGGTCTACTCAGGAGGAGAGGACCTTGATCCTCTTCATGGGCTGCAGCTGTGACAACTGAATAAGAGGACGGAGTGGTGTACAGGCCAGTGCTGAAAACAAAGCGTGGAAATATCTCTAGTCTGTCATTCCTCTGTGAGTTTGGCATCCTTCCCAGTGTGTGTTCTCTGCGGACATCCACCAGCCCTTATCTTGCCTGGTTTGTGTTGTTTTTTGCTCTTTATAATTTAAATGGCATTCCCTCCTTCTTGTAACTGCTTGTGTGGGAGTTTTTTTGTCTCCAGTCAAGGATATTTGGAGCTTGGAAGCAAAGTGAAGGAATAAAAGGGGCTTCACTTGTTTTTTTGTGACTGTGTTTATTTTGTATCCCACCCTGGGTCATCACAGTACCTAAAAAGAAAAGATACATTCGTCCAGAATCATAAGATCCAACACTTAATGATAGTCATAGGGTACAAATAAGCAATCAAATCATACTAGGAAACAGTCAATATAAATCATAAGGACACAAGCGACAAAGTTACAGTCATACAGTCACAAGTGGGAGGGGATGGTTGATAGGAATGATGAGAAGGTTAATAGTGATAGTAATGCAGACTTAATAAATAGTTGGAATGACCGCATTTCCAAATCTAGTTTGTGGTTGGTTTCGAACCTCTGTTAGACTTTTGGCTTTCGTGTGTTAAAAATGTCTTTGGGAAGGTGGTTGTGCAGTTAGGTTTGGTGTTGTTAGCATAGTTTTGCTCTAGAACAAATACTGGGTGAAGAATTTTACATATACTTGCACATCTCAAGAAAAGAAAAATGTGGTGTTTGCTTGACAGCTTGAAAGACAGATGCACCATACATTCATTGTGGATGAAGATTTTAGCTCTCTTCCCTAAAAAGGTTTCCCGTTCACATTCTAGCCAGCATCAACACGCACACAATATGATACATGCGGTGGGTTTCAGGTGCGTGATGAATAAAGCCACAGTTAATGAAGCTTACCTTTCTGTATAACGTCCATATTTGAATGCACCTGGAATACTGCATCTAGTTTTGTTCACCACAATATAAAAAAAAAAAAGATGTTGAGACTCTGGAAAGAGTGCAGAGAAGAGCAACCAGGATGGTTAGGGGATGGCTGGAGGATAAAACATACAATGAATGGTTGCAGCAACTGGGCACGGATAGTCTAGAGAAGAGAAGGACCAGGGGAGGCATGATAGCAGTCTTCCAATATTTGAGGGGCTGCCACAGAGAAGAGGAGGTCAAGTTATTTTCCAACCTGAAGGCCAGACAAGGAATAATGGATGGAAACTGATCAAGGAGAGATTCAACCTGGAAATAAGGAGAAACTTTCTAACAGGGAGAACAATCAACCCATGGAACAACTTGACACCGGAAGTTGTGGGTGCCCCATCATTGGAGGCTTTTAAGAAGAGACTGGAATGGACAGCCAGTTGTCTGAAAGATGTAGGTGGGAAAGGAACAGTGTTCCATGCGCCTTCGAAGGCATTTAGTCATGCCGGCCACATGACCACGGAGACGTCTTCGGACAGTGCTGGCTCTTCTTCAGCTTTGTAACAGAGATGAGCAGCGCCCCCTAGAGCTGGGAACAACTAGCACCTATAGGCGGGAGGAACCTTTACTTTTACCTTCTTAAGGCAGAAGCAATTAAATCTTGGCTGGTGAGCTTGAACCGTTTAGCAGTTGTGTTGAGTGGTTTGAAATGCTGGGACTGAGGAACATGGAATCCATGTGTTGAGGGGTCCTTGATGCTGAGCTTGATTGTTTTCTTGCAGACATTTCATTATCCAAACTAGGCAACGTCATCAGTGCTACTAGGAGAAGGGATTTGCTCATATTCTAGTGGAATTCTAATAGCCACTAGACTATAAACAGAGCAAACCCCACTCCTTTCTAGCTCTGATGATGTTCCCTAGTTGGGTCATGAAACATCTGCAAGAAAGCTACCAAGCTCAGAGAGCACCAAGGGCCCCACAGCCTCCTCCTCCTCCTCCTCCTCCTCCTTCTCCCTCCCCCTCCCCCTCCTCCCCCTCCTCCTCCTCCTTTCTCCACTCCCTTCAAAAACTGATGATGTTCCCTAGTTGGGTAATGAAACATCTGCAAGAAAACAACCAAACCCCCGAGCGCACCAAGGAGCCCTCACTTCATCCCTGAGCTGCAGACTTCTCCTTTATTGAATCCATGAATTGTTTTAATATAGAAGATTGCTATTAGATACAGGGGTCCTGGACTATCATTCCCATAATCTCCAGCTAAGGATAGTGAGATATGTAGTCCAGACATATCCATGGAATTCCTCTTGACTTCTTCTAATGTTCCAAAAATGTGAGGCATGCAACATTGCATGTATCCTTTTAAAACATAAAATGTACCCCTTGCACAAATCAGGAAACACCCCACTGGCAATTTTTTTTTGCTGTTGCAGTTGGAAAAAAAGGTCAGAGAAGGGAGGCCATAATTAATCACATATTTCTTCCATTCCCCTACCAAAACCTGTGTATATTTATTGCGTTCTCTGTTAACGCTGCCCTTATTTGTATTAAACCAAAATTTAAACAGTAATTACCCAGCTGTTTTCATCTAAAGAAAGACAATGTGTTGAAGCCTGCTTTCCCTTTTTCAGACTAACCTTTTCCTTTCAGCATTTGGATTTGAACCATTTTGGCAGAAGATGCAGAGAAATTGTTTGACTTCAGCGAAAGAAAGAGTTTTAAATGACTTATTTTTCAAGGAAAACAGATGTTTCATTCGTGGTTTTGAAAGAGAAACACCCCAAATGCAGAACAAATGTTTTCCATCCAGTTCCTGATTGCAAAATCTTAAAAACTTTTTTTTCCTTGCATTTTATATGTATATACATGAGAGTTATGACACACTGTGGATAAATAACCATGTTTAACAATCCACCCTCCTTTGTAAACCTGGCTCGCAAAATATAACTTTTTTATTATTTTTTTCCCCCTTTAATGCATGCAGATGGAGTATTTGTAGTTCAGTGTTTTCCTTTGGTTTCGAAACTTCCACCCTTCCACAAAACATTTACGTATTTTGGGTTGTCTAAAAAGCTTCATGCTCCATTGGTAGTTTTTTTCCATTTCCTTGGCTGGTTTACATTTCTGAAGATGCTAACAACAGTTTAAAGGAGTCTAGTAAGAAAAAAAAAGACCAGCTAGGAAGGCATGATTTCTGTTTTGGGCAGAGGGTTGACTAGAAGATGTCTGAAGTCCTTTCCAGCCACGTAGTTATGAGTCTCACTTTGGAAGTGAGTATTACAGAATAGCAGAGTTGGAAGGGACCTTTGAGATCTTCTAGTCCAACCCTTTGCTTAGGCAGGAGGTAACCCTATAGCATTTCAGACAAATGATTGTCCAATCTCTTCTTAAAAGCCTCCAGTGATGGAGCACCCACAACTTCTGGTGGCAAATTGTTCCACTGGCTAATAGTTCAATCAGGAAATGTCTACTTAATTCCAGGTTGCTTCTCTCTTTGATCAGTTCCCATCTGTTGCTTCTTCTCCTGCTTTCAGAAAATAGCTTGACTTCCTCTTCTTTGTGACAGCCCCTCAAATATTGGAAGACTGCTATCATGTCCCCCCTGGTCCTTTTCATTAAACAAGATGTACCAAATTCCTGTAACTGTTCTTCGTATGTTTGAGCCTCCAGTCCTCTAATTTTCGTTGCTCTTCTCTGCACTCTTTCCAGAGTCTCAACATATTTTTTTAATATTGTGGTGACCAAAACTGGATGCAGCATTCCAAGTGTGGTCTTACAAAGGCTTTATAAAGCTGTACTAGAATTAAAAGAGGCTTGCTCCTGGGGAGGAAAGTTATGGCAAATCTAGACAGCACACTAAAAAGCAGAGACATCCAAAGTGCATAGAGTCAAGGCTATGGTTTTCCCAGTTGCAATGTCTGGCTGTGAAAGTTGGACCATAAGGAAGGCTGAGCGTCAAAGAATGGAGGCCTTTGAACTCGGGTGCTGGAGGAAAAGATTCCTGTGAGTCCCTTGGACTGCAAGGCCATCCAACCGGTCAGTCCTAGATGAGATCAACCCTAACTGCTCTTTAGAAGGCCAGATCCTGAAGAGGAAACTCAAAGACTTTGGCCACCTCATGAGAAGGAAGGACTCCCTGGAGAAGAGCCGAATGCTGGGAAAGATTGAAGGCAAAAGAAGACAAAGGGGACGGCAGAGAAGGAGGAGGCTGGATGGAGTCCCTGAAGCAGTCAGCATGAGCTTAAATGGACTCCAATAGATGGTAGAGGAAGGCCTGGAGGAACGTTGTCCATGGGGTCGCAAACGGTCGGACACGACTTCGCAACTAACAACAACAACAACTAGAACTTCACACAATCTTGAGTTTATCCCTCTGCTAAAGCAACCTAGGATTGCGTTGACTTTTTGGGCTGCTGGGTGTTTTGCTGTCCAAATCTTTTTTGCACCTCCACTGGTGTTGACAATTGCGACTTCTCAGAAAAAAACAGGAATTCTTGGAGAGGCAAAGGACGCAAAGAGGGAGGATCAGATTTCAACTCCAATCTCATCAAGCCAGGATCTCTCTCTCTCTCTCTCTTTCTTTGTCTTCAGCCTGGGTAACAATGGCCTGGGCATCCTATTTGCTGCGCTCCGGCCTATCAGCATCCATGTTGCTGGTCCTTAATGACATCATAAAAAGGGCTCTGGGAAATTATGCGTGGACTTTTTTTCTTCTCCCTCCTGCTAGCCCTCCATATGATAGCTTAACCTGGAAGGCCAGGAAAATCAAAAGGCTGGAAGATCAAAAGGAGAACGAGAGGGCAGAAGGGTAAAATCAGACTCAAAAAAAAAAAGAGACCACCTGGAGAAGGGCCACAGAGTAGCAAAACAACCCAAAACCAGTCACAAGACAGGCAGTGCAGGAAGACCCCAAGGTGGGGTACCAAGCTGGAGTAGACGATGTCTGATGATCAATGTGATACGGATAGCTTTGAAGATCTTGAACCAGAGCCGTCTTGTAGGAGAAGACGGAGGAAGCCGAAAACTTCCCGTTCTTGTCGGGCAGGATTGATATTCCCAGTCAGCCGGATCGACCGATTCCTTCGGAAAGGAGATTACACCGAGCGCATCGGCTCGGGAGCTTCCGTCTACATGGCCGCCGTGCTTCAGTACCTGACCTACGACCTGGTGGACATCGCAGGGAACATCGCGATGGAAGCTGGCCGGCGTCGAATCGCTCCTGGCCATTTGCACCAAGCGGTCAGAGAAGATTCAGAACTCCAGGCTCTGTTTGGAGGGGTCTTGACTCAGGAGAAGACCTGTCCAAGGAAGGCGCCTGTTGCCTCCCCCCGAAAGGGGAAGAAATCCAGCAAGGGCCTACGAGCTCCAAACGCCATTGTTGCGTAAACGAAGGTGATGCCATTTATCCAGACGTGGGGTGAAATCTTTTTAATATCTCAACAGGGTGCAGGAATAAACACGGCTCTGAAGATGGGCTCCTGGTGGTGTGAAGGTCTTTTCTTTATGCACAGGGTGAATTGGGATGGAGTGGACCAAGAAGGTGCCCCTTGTTATGTGTTTTACTTCGGGTCGGAGACCTTGGTACTTTCTTGAGCTTGTTCTTGTAGACTAAAGGTCTTCAAACTTGGCAGGTTTAAGGCTTGTGGACTTCAATTCCCAGAATTCCCAAGTTAACATGACTGGAGGTGGAATTCTGGGAGTTGAAGTCCAAAAGTCTTAAAGCTACCAAGTTTGAAGACCCCTGTTGTAGACATTTCATGACCCAACT